GAAGCGCTCCAGCCTGGCTCGCTTCGCAGTGGGCACAAGGGGCCTTAAATTAGGCAGCCTGGAGGAGCCCCTGTGAGCCAGGGAGGAGAGGGGGACGCTGGCTCTGTGACGGTGGGAAGCCTTTGTGCCCCTCCGCTAGTCGCTTGGGCCTCCTTGCCGTGCTCCCTGTTTGTGTGACACCCCTAAAGAGGAGCAGGGAGATGGTCCAGGATCGGGTGAGGCTTGGGCTGTGCTGGGCCAGCAGCTCCAGGGGAGGCCTGGCAGCAGCAGCTGTCTGCACTCCTGCTTCAGGCAAGCCTTGAGCAGCCCACGACTGTCCTGATCCTTGCAATGTGGAAGAGAAAGATAATGAACCTGCAGGTTTTGGGGCAGGCCGGGCTGTGTCTCTGCCAGTTACCTCGGTGCTCAGATGAGAGGTGGGGTTTGCTGTGGGAAGGGGTGGGAGGCTGTGGCCATGAAATGAGCAGGAACTAAGATGGGCCCGTCCCAGCCCTGCCTTCAGACGGTAACATTGGCTGTTTCCCTGCAGGAGCTGGGCGTGCGGGCTGCGCTGGAACAGATCAGCTACCTGGAGACAGGTAGGGCTGGTGCATGGCACGATCTTGGCTCATGCCACAGACCCCTTGGGTCCATAACCCAAACCATGACCTTTTTGGCCTCTGGTCCCCAGGAAGGGGTCACAGCTGGCCCTGCTTCATGCTGAGGTGCCCAAATAATGAGCGTGGCCCAGCCCAGCCCTGGGGAGACCCTGCTGGAAGGGGTTGTCCGCAGTGGCTGGGGTGCAGGGCTGTCTGGGCAGGTCCTGTGCTAATTGCTGTGTTATGCAGGCTACTCCTCAAAGGTGAAGAGCCCCGCGGGAGGAGACTGTGCCCGGGAGTCTGGGGGGTCTGACAGGTAGGGGCTGCCAGCCGTGCTGTGCAGGTCGGCACTGCTGGCTCCTCCAGGCTGCCGTCCCCGAGCGGGGACAGACCCTGGTGTCAGGGGGAGCGCTGTGCTGCAGGGACAGTGGTGTGCGAGTCAGGACATGGAGAGGTTAAGCGTGCCCGTGAGCCCAAATGACGTGTGCAGTCTGGGAGGTGTTTGCCTTCTGGCCCTAGCTCTGTAGGCTGTGAGCAATGCTGCAGAGGGATCTTTTATTGTCCCAGCATTTCCTTTCTTGTCCCAGGCTGAAAAAGAGCCACCACGGCTACGCCCAGACATCCCCGGGGGACTCCACCTTCCGCCTGCAGCTGGCAGAGAGGGAGCAGGCCCTGCTCCTGGCACAGGAGACCATCCAGGTGAGGCCACCGCACACTGAGGCCCCCACTGCTGTGCCTCTGTGCAGCAAAGCACTATCCTCGTCCCACCCCCGGGGCCATGGCAGCACCAAGACAGAGACAGACTCCCGGGTGCCCCCTTGCCTCTCCGCCAGTCCTGCTATGTGTGGGGTATGGCACAGCTTGAACAGGCGGTTGCTCAGTGCCATCTGCTTCCTGGGCCATTCTGATCTGCAGGCCCTGTTCTCGTGGCCCCTTCGGGCATGTGCCAGTCTGGAGGTGGCAGTGACATTGTCCAGATGGCTGATATCTTGTTCAAGTGCTCCCCGGGCTGCTCCAGCGCAGTGCTGGGCTCCTACTGGCTACGGTGCTGTCCTTTAATGAAAAAAGTCTGGTCAAACCAGGCTAGAAATTCAGTGATTGTCCAGCGTGACCTGGATGCATGGTTTAAACCTTACAGCGCTGGTCTCCTTCTGTAACAGAAGGTGTTTTGATGACATTCACAGGGCAAATGCCCTTGTAAACCCTCTGCCCTGCAGATCTCTGCCTCTGGGTGAACAGGTTTCTCTGTCAGTCCTCCCCCCCGGCCATGCCCTGGATCTCTGTGACAGACACCTACCTCAGTCACATGAATCAGTGGTTCCCACATGTTCCTGATTTTCAACCTTTCTCATCAGTCTTCCAGCCAGGAGTATATAAAGGTGATGAAAAGCAGGCCTGTAACGCAGCTGCTTAGACACCGTGCAGGCCGCTCGCTGGGGCCTCTAGACTGTCACTGGGCTGCAGACCAAGTTCTGGGCTGCCTTTTTTTAATGCCCTGGCAGTGGGAGATTTTTGGAACAGCAGCTCATTTAGCAGCAAGCTGGCTCTGTGGCCTGGTGCTGGTCAGGCTGCGATACCCCTCCGGCTGCCCTGAACTGCCATGAGCTGATGGGCGTTTCCACAGGGAGGGGAGCCCCTGGGGGGCACAAAGCCCTTCTTGGCAAAAGAGGAATGGGAAGTATAGCAAAAGCCACAGTCTTGGGAATGTCCTGGAAACAGGGCTTTTCTGCTGGAAAGCGTCTCCTGAAGCCTGAGGTTTTGGTAAAGGGGAAGGAACCCTCTGGGCTATTTTGCATGTTAGTCCAACTGTTATCACCTCCTGGGAGTCCTGGGTCCTATTTTGGGAAAAGTATTTACTTGATGCGTGTTATGGGAGCAGGAATTGGGGCCCTAGTCCCAAATCTGCCACTAATGCTCACCAAGCCTCAGTTTCTCCTACAGTGAAAGACATGATGCTACTCAGTGACTTCTCAGACATGTCCAGCAGCCACCTTGGCATAGCCCTAAATACCTTGCTCAGGAAGAGCAAGAGATGGGACAGCTGTGAGCGGGTGGCAGTGCTTGGGCTCTGAGCTCTCTGCGGTCTGTCAAGGCTGGACGCATCGGTGCTATGCCCAGCCCAGGAGCTGGCTGTGATTTTCGCAGAGCTCAGAGGCTCAGTGGGTGGGTTTGGACTCATCTGTCTGTCTCCCAAAGCAAGCTGAGGGGAGGCGTGTGGGGTCTCTCTGCTCAGATCCTGCAGATGAAGGTGCGGAGGCTGGAGCAGCTGGTGCATCTCAAGAACATCCGGATAGATGACCTCAGCCAGCGCCTTCAGGAGGCCGAGCACAAGCAGAAATGAGCGGTGCCTTGCTTTCCCTGCAGCTCCTCTCCCTGCTCACTCAGGATCTCTCTGCTGGGTGCTTTTAACAGGGCTTTTCTGTGCCCCCTGCCCCACCTCTCCCATCCATCCTAGCTGCTCCTGAGCTGGAAGGCCAGGCCGCTAGAGGCATAGGTGCTCAGCCCCCAGGAAAGGCAGTAGCAGAGCAGAGATCCCAGGGTGAGGGGGCACCTCAGGTTCCTGCTGGGCTCTTAGCTTAGTTCATCCTTTCTTTGCCTTGCCTGTTCGTAATGAAAAAGCCAGGTCAATGCTCAGAAACCTTCCTCTAAGGAGAGTGTGGGCAGCAAAGATGCTGCTGGGGGGGGGTCCTGCCAGCCGCAGCCTGGGGGGCAGGTTGCAGCTGACTCGGTGTCTGTCAGCAGTTTGCAGCATGGGGACACCTCTTGGCTGCCTGGGCCTGGGAGATGTGACCTGGGGGAGGTGATGTTTCTGAAATGCTGAGATTTAATCTCTTACCCAAAGCTGTTGGTTGTGTTTGTAATCTCAGAGAAAATCTGCGCTGCAGCAAACAAACCTGCTTGCGTGGTCGGTGAACAGGAGCCCCGGAGCTCTGTCCTGTCTCTCTGGCACATACACACACGACACCCGCGTGGGCTCCTGGACTGGCCCAGGCTCAGCTCGGGGCTGGCGGTACGCGGCTGTACTGCAGCCTGCTCCTTCCCGCCGCCGAGCCCCACGCGTGTCCTGCTTTCCCTGGGGCTCCTCTGGGGATGTCACGATAGACCTCTCCTTAGATCCCAACAATTGGAGCATTTCCCCACCGGCATTCTTATATCCATTGAACTCTGCCGGGTGGCTACAAACACCGTTCCCCAACAGAGCACGGTCTGATGGGCTCCGTGCAGGCGTCTAGGAGCAGGTCTGGGAACCCTTTTGCAGCCTTGGTGGCTCTGAGTGGTAGGAGATGCTCAGGGATTTGTGCGTTGAACTCGCTTGAGCTGTCTACCGCCCTCAACGTCAGGCCGTGGGGTGGACGGCAATGCCCCGGGGGCTGCGCTGCGCTGCAGGCTGGGCGTAAGTCAGGTCAACCTGGGCATAAGTCAACCTGGGCGTAAGTCAGGTCAACCTGGGCATAAGTCAACCTGGGCGTAAGTCAGGTCAACCTGGGCATAAGTCAACCTGGGCGTAAGTCAGGTCAACCTGGGCATAAGTCAACCTGGGCGTAAGTCAGGTCAACCTGGGCATAAGTCAACCTGGGCGTAAGTCAGGTCAACCTGGGCATAAGTCAACCTGGGCGTAAGTCAGGTCAACCTGGGCATAAGTCAACCTGGGCGTAAGTCAGGTCAACCTGGGCATAAGTCAACCTGGGCGTAAGTCAGGTCAACCTGGGCATAAGTCAACCTGGGCGTAAGTCAGGTCAACCTGGGCATAAGTCAACCTGGGCGTAAGTCAGGTCAACCTGGGCATAAGTCAACCTGGGCGTAAGTCAGGTCAACCTGGGCATAAGTCAACCTGGGCGTAAGTCAGGTCAACCTGGGCATAAGTCAACCTGGGCGTAAGTCAGGTCAACCTGGGCATAAGTCAACCTGGGCGTAAGTCAGGTCAACCTGGGCATAAGTCAACCTGGGCGTAAGTCAGGTCAACCTGGGCATAAGTCAACCTGGGCGTAAGTCAGGTCAACCTGGGCATAAGTCAACCTGGGCGTAAGTCAGGTCAACCTGGGCATAAGTCAACCTGGGCGTAAGTCAGGTCAACCTGGGCATAAGTCAACCTGGGCGTAAGTCAGGTCAACCTGGGCATAAGTCAACCTGGGCGTAAGTCAGGTCAACCTGGGCATAAGTCAACCTGGGCGTAAGTCAGGTCAACCTGGGCATAAGTCAACCTGGGCGTAAGTCAGGTCAACCTGGGCATAAGTCAACCTGGGCGTAAGTCAGGTCAACCTGGGCATAAGTCAACCTGGGCGTAAGTCAGGTCAACCTGGGCATAAGTCAACCTGGGCGTAAGTCAGGTCAACCTGGGCATAAGTCAACCTGGGCGTAAGTCAGGTCAACCTGGGCATAAGTCAACCTGGGCGTAAGTCAGGTCAACCTGGGCATAAGTCAACCTGGGCGTAAGTCAGGTCAACCTGGGCATAAGTCAACCTGGGCGTAAGTCAGGTCAACCTGGGCATAAGTCAACCTGGGCGTAAGTCAGGTCAACCTGGGCATAAGTCAACCTGGGCGTAAGTCAGGTCAACCTGGGCATAAGTCAACCTGGGCGTAAGTCAGGTCAACCTGGGCATAAGTCAACCTGGGCGTAAGTCAGGTCAACCTGGGCATAAGTCAACCTGGGCGTAAGTCAGGTCAACCTGGGCATAAGTCAACCTGGGCGTAAGTCAGGTCAACCTGGGCATAAGTCAACCTGGGCGTAAGTCAGGTCAACCTGGGCATAAGTCAACCTGGGCGTAAGTCAGGTCAACCTGGGCATAAGTCAACCTGGGCGTAAGTCAGGTCAACCTGGGCATAAGTCAACCTGGGCGTAAGTCAGGTCAACCTGGGCATAAGTCAACCTGGGCGTAAGTCAGGTCAACCTGGGCATAAGTCAACCTGGGCGTAAGTCAGGTCAACCTGGGCATAAGTCAACCTGGGCGTAAGTCAGGTCAACCTGGGCATAAGTCAACCTGGGCGTAAGTCAGGTCAACCTGGGCATAAGTCAACCTGGGCGTAAGTCAGGTCAACCTGGGCATAAGTCAACCTGGGCGTAAGTCAGGTCAACCTGGGCATAAGTCAACCTGGGCGTAAGTCAGGTCAACCTGGGCATAAGTCAACCTGGGCGTAAGTCAGGTCAACCTGGGCATAAGTCAACCTGGGCGTAAGTCAGGTCAACCTGGGCATAAGTCAACCTGGGCGTAAGTCAGGTCAACCTGGGCATAAGTCAACCTGGGCGTAAGTCAGGTCAACCTGGGCATAAGTCAACCTGGGCGTAAGTCAGGTCAACCTGGGCATAAGTCAACCTGGGCGTAAGTCAGGTCAACCTGGGCATAAGTCAACCTGGGCGTAAGTCAGGTCAACCTGGGCATAAGTCAACCTGGGCGTAAGTCAGGTCAACCTGGGCATAAGTCAACCTGGGCGTAAGTCAGGTCAACCTGGGCATAAGTCAACCTGGGCGTAAGTCAGGTCAACCTGGGCATAAGTCAACCTGGGCGTAAGTCAGGTCAACCTGGGCATAAGTCAACCTGGGCGTAAGTCAGGTCAACCTGGGCATAAGTCAACCTGGGCGTAAGTCAGGTCAACCTGGGCATAAGTCAACCTGGGCGTAAGTCAGGTCAACCTGGGCATAAGTCAACCTGGGCGTAAGTCAGGTCAACCTGGGCATAAGTCAACCTGGGCGTAAGTCAGGTCAACCTGGGCATAAGTCAACCTGGGCGTAAGTCAGGTCAACCTGGGCATAAGTCAACCTGGGCGTAAGTCAGGTCAACCTGGGCATAAGTCAACCTGGGCGTAAGTCAGGTCAACCTGGGCATAAGTCAACCTGGGCGTAAGTCAGGTCAACCTGGGCATAAGTCAACCTGGGCGTAAGTCAGGTCAACCTGGGCATAAGTCAACCTGGGCGTAAGTCAGGTCAACCTGGGCATAAGTCAACCTGGGCGTAAGTCAGGTCAACCTGGGCATAAGTCAACCTGGGCGTAAGTCAGGTCAACCTGGGCATAAGTCAACCTGGGCGTAAGTCAGGTCAACCTGGGCATAAGTCAACCTGGGCGTAAGTCAGGTCAACCTGGGCATAAGTCAACCTGGGCGTAAGTCAGGTCAACCTGGGCATAAGTCAACCTGGGCGTAAGTCAGGTCAACCTGGGCATAAGTCAACCTGGGCGTAAGTCAGGTCAACCTGGGCGTAAGTCAAGTCAACCTAGGCATAAGTCAACCTGGGCGTAAGTCAAGTCAACCTGGGCGTAAGTCAACCTGGGCGTAAGTCAACCTAGGCATAAGTCAAGTCAACCTAGGCATAAGTCAACCTGGGCGTAAGTCAGGTCAACCTGGGCGTAAGTCAAGTCAACCTAGGCATAAGTCAACCTGGGCGTAAGTCAGGTCAACCTGGGCGTAAGTCAAGCTAAGCGAAGCACAATATAACCTAGGCTGAAAGTAGGTCAACCTGGGCGTAAGTCAACCTAGGCGTAAGTCAACCTGGGCATAAGTCAGGTCAACCTGGGCGTAAGTCTACCTAGGAGTAAGTCTCTATAATGTACCCTGAAAGGAGTAAACAAGCTGGGAAAGGAATGAGGGCGATGGGCGGGATGACGAGTGATGGGCTCCTCCTCCTCCTCCTCCTCCTCGGAGGCAGATCGGGGGCATCCGCTCATAAGTCAGGTCAACCTGGGCGTAAGTCTACCTAGGAGTAAGTCTCTATAATGTACCCTGAAAGGAGTAAACAAGCTGGGAAAGGAATGAGGGCGATGGGCGGGATGACGAGTGATGGGCTCCTCCTCCTCCTCCTCCTCCTCGGAGGCAGATCGGGGGCATCCGCTCGCCTCGCTGGGGAGTGAGGAGAGGAGGGACCGGCGGCGGGAGCCTGAAGCGCAGAGGAAAGAACGAGTGAGAC